GCTGTCCGCTGTCCCAGCCCATGTTCCCCACTCTCCAACCCCACACCAACATTTAGGATATTAGTTTTTAATCAGGGTGATTTTGCCATCCAAGGGGCACTTGGCAATGTCAGGAGACACTTTTGGTTGTCTCAACTGGAGAGGCTGGTGGGGTAGAAGGCAAGGATGCAGCTAAAGCTCCTACAGTGCACAAGACTGTCCCTATAGCAAAACTTACTTGATCCAAAATGTCCATAGTGCCCAGATTGAGAAACCCTGGTTTAGAAGCGCTACCTCCAGGAAGGCATCCCTGCTTTCTCCTGCTGAGAATCATCTCTCCAGAGAAAATTATTAACACCAGAAAACTGGCCAAGTCTGGCTGCTGAACCCCAGCAGAACTTTAGCAATTCCTCTGATACTGAGAAGAGCTCACTTTGTATTAGAGTTAGGAGGTCATATAATTCAATGTCAAGTTTGTGGATTCTGGAGTCTAAAGCCCTGAGTTCAAATCCTGGCTACCCATTTCCTAGCTGTGTGACTTTGGGCAAGTTACTTAAATAGTCAAAGCCTCAATTGCTTTATCTGTAAAAATGGGAGTGAGGATGGTAATATTCTTGCTTCATAGAATTGTTGTGAACATATATTAGTTAATCCATAGAAAGCACTCAACAATTACATATGAATTAATCTTGCCCCTAACTAGACCATGGTCTCTGTCAAGTAATGACTCAATAGTCTCATTCCCCTGACACTTTACCTAACACATGACACTGAAAATTATAAGGTTTTTTTAAAAAGAATGTAGGCAGATGAGAAATGTCAAGAGCAATGTTATTTAAGCACCCTAGATCATGGTCATACCCATAACAGGTGATCTCCTTCATGAACAGCCTTGCTCAGTGCCTTTAAGAAGCTGCCTTCACACACACACACACACACACACACACACACACACACACACACACACACATACACACACACACACCAAAGACACATCCTGGTGTAACTCCCACCTTGTGTGATCACTGGGACACAAACACTCTTAGGTAGAACCTACAGCCAGGTTTCTCAACATCATCACTACTGACATTTTGGGCTAGTTAATTCTATGCTGTGGGGTGCTTTCCTGTGCATCCTAAGATGTTTAGTAGAATCCCTGGCCTCTACCTATTAAATTCCATTAGCATCCAAAATAAACCCCATTGGGACAACAAAAAATGTCTCCAAACATTGCGAAAAGTCCCCTAAGGGGCAAAACTCCCCCCATTTAAGAGCTAGCAGTCTTGCTAAGCCAGAGTGGCTCAATTCGTTGAGTATCATCCTGTGTACTGAAAGTTTGCCGGTTCCATTCCTGATCAGGGCACATACCTGAGTTGCGGGTTCAATCCCCAGTCAGGGTGCGTACAGAAGGCAACTAATCAATGTTTCTCTCCTCTCTCTCTCTCTCTTTCTCTCTCTCTCTCTCTCTCTCTCGTCTTCATGTGAGGATTTTTAAAAAACAAAATAGAAAAATAACTACTGGTCTTAGCCATAAATTCTCAGGTGAAGCTATATCTCCCTCAATGAGGCAAAAATTGGTTCTTAGGGTACAAAAAAAATCTTATCTTTTTTATGTGTAAAGCATAGATATACATATAATACACAAACAGATACGTAGTATACTGTGATAATAAAATTTATAGATGGAGGAAAATAAAACACTATAAAAATGTTCCTGGAATAATAATGAAAAAAGATTGAGAAACACTGCTCTAGGCAATTCATCTTTTATAGGGTGTCGTCAATTGAATAAAAGTATATCTTACTAAATACCTAGTAATAATAATATCTTCCAAGCTCTGTGCTAAGCCCTGTGCTCATTCACTCAGGGAAGCCATTGCTTCTGTAACCAACTTACAAGTGAAAGCTCTGAGGCCTTGACAGCCCTGAAAAGACAGAGCCAGGACTCCAAGGCAAGTCCATGTGACTACAAAGAGCTCCTGTGACCTACTTAGTCATGGAGCCCTTCCCACTTGTTCACTTATATCCAGACTTTCCTTGAGACACACTGTGGTTTTCAGGACTTTGAGATGATGACAATGGCTGATAATTATGGACTGACTTCTCTCAGGTACCTGTGTTAACTCATGTCCTACTCCGAGCAACCCTATAAGGTAGATTCTGTTACTGTTGACTTTCTATAGATGAGGGAACTAAGACCCAGAGAGGCTCGGTCACTTGCCCAAGGTCACACCACCAACAGGCAGAGCTGGGACTCTAATCCTGGCAGTGTGGATCCAGAGCCCACAGCATGGCCACCACCCTGCCATCCCCACACCTTCTACACAGGCACCCAAGGATTCAGGGGACTTTGGAATTTCTCAAAATAATGTCACCTCATTGTAGCTCCTGTCTGCCAATGGTGGGAGGGTCCTTGCCCTATCTGTCCATCCACACCCTAGTCAGGAAAGCAGGGAAGGGCAGAAGGTGGTAAGGAAATGTAGAAAGGCAGGCTGGACAGATGGGAGGAAAAAGGAAGGAGAATAAATGAGGGGGACAAAGAGGGACAGGGACGCCTGGAATGAAGGAAAGAGAAAATACAAGAAAGGAAGCTGGGACTAGGAGCAGGAGCTCAGATACTGGGGAAGAAAGGGGAGGAGGGAGCAGCAAGGCTGAGCTATTTTTAAGAACCTAAGTGTTGCTGATTTGCATGTTTAGCATCTCTTTGCATATTGAGGTCAGAAGGTCCCAACTCCTCATGTGAGAAGGAATAGGAATTCATTAGTGCAGCTTTCTAGAAGACTCTTCAAGTACACTTGCTGGGCTCTTCCCTAATGAAGGAAAAGGGAGTAGAGGGGAAGATCTGATCCATCATCCTGCAAGGGTGTCACATTGCTAAGGGAGGGAATCATTGGATCCTGAGTGAGTGCCAGCAGGACACCCACACTGCTCCCACTCATGGCATCTCCCTTGGCAGGTGGTATGTCAGATTCCCCAACCACAAAAGGAAGGGAACTGGGCAGGGAGCTCTCAAAGAAGCCGGATCGAGTTAGGTAATCACTCCATGAATTAATTCATAGAAAGAGCTCAAACCTCAAAAGAGGATAGAGTCAAAGGAAGCTGAAGGAAAATGATTGACAAGGCATCTCAGATGCCGTACTCTTTGTCCTGAATTTTTGGGTGCAAAAAAGAAAGGAAAGAGGGGAGGAAGTGAGGGAGAGAGGGAGACTGGGAGAGAGAGAAGGAAGGAGGAAGGAAGTTTGGCTTCCAAACTAACTTACGCGTTTGTCACTTGCATTATCCTCAAGCTGCCCTATGAAGTAGATACACAAAGAATCCCAATTTGTAGATTGGAAAACAGGCTTGGCTTGACTGTTACTTGCTCACAGTATTAGGACAGGCCTGTGATTTGAACCCAGAACTATTACACTATACTGACCCATAAAACACACAAGGACGAACAATCAAGGGGAGTTTGGGCACATGAGATAGAACCAGAATAAGAGAAGTCTCTCGTGACCCACATTGTCTCTCCCTCTCTCTCTCCATTCTCTCCCCCTATGTATCTTTTCTGTTAGCTCAGAGCAAACCAGTTTGGGGAGTCACTTAGGGCTTCCTGTGCCCCCCAAACCTTTGGCTTACATGACAATTTGCTTTGTCACAATAAGAACTCTGACCCCAACTTGGTATTTCAAGTCCCATCACCAACTAACCTATTTAGTTTCAGTGTCACTAAGTTCCAGTGCTCCACAGACAAGATGCAGTGCATACAGCCCAGCCTCTGGACTGCTCCCCTTGGAAGGCCCCTGAGATGTCCATGCCTGGTCCACTTAGGTGTGGCCTAGAGAAACAAGAGCAGGAAGTACAAACAGAAAAATTAGATGCCAGGGCTTAACAGGATGAGTAGCTCAAAGAAGCCGGATCGAGTTAGGTAATCACTCCATGAATTAATTCATAGAAAGAGCTCAAACCTCAAAAGAGGATAGAGTCAAAGGAAGCTGAAGGAAAATGATTGACAAGGCATCTCAGATGTCGTACTCTTTGTCCTGAATTTTTGGGTGCAAAAAAGAAAGGAAAGAGGGGAGGAAGTGAGGGAGAGAGGGAGACTGGGAGAGAGAGAAGGAAGGAGGAAGGAAGTTTGGCTTCCAAACTAACTTACGCGTTTGTCACTTGCATTATCCTCAAGCTGCCCTATGAAGTAGATACACAAAGAATCCCAATTTGTAGATTGGAAAACAGGCTTGGCTTGACTGTTACTTGCTCACAGTATTAGGACAGGCCTGTGATTTGAACCCAGAACTATTACACTATACTGACCCATAAAACACACAAGGACGAACAATCAAGGGGAGTTTGGGCACATGAGATAGAACCAGAATAAGAGAAGTCTCTCGTGACCCACATTGTCTCTCCCTCTCTCTCTCCATTCTCTCCCCCTATGTATCTTTTCTGTTAGCTCAGAGCAAACCAGTTTGGGGAGTCACTTAGGGCTCCCTGTGCCCCCCAAACCTTTGGCTTACATGACAATTTGCTTTGTCACAATAAGAACTCTGACCCCAACTTGGTATTTCAAGTCCCATCACCAACTAACCTATTTAGTTTCAGTGTCACTAAGTTCCAGTGCTCCACAGACAAGATGCAGTGCATACAGCCCAGCCTCTGGACTGCTCCCCTTGGAAGGCCCCTGAGATGTCCATGCCTGGTCCACTTAGGTGTGGCCTAGAGAAACAAGAGCAGGAAGTACAAACAGAAAAATTAGATGCCAGGGCTTAACAGGATGAGTAGAAGGGATTGCAATTGGCTTCTCCAGGGGGTCACTCTCAAAGATGGTGGCCTCTGCCCAGGGCAGTCTTTGCTAAAAGGCGATTGCAGTGTCCATACTCAAGCTGAGCTGAAAAAGATAATAGGCAGAAAGGACAAAAGAAGTTAGACAGAAAGACTAGGTGACTGCTCACAAGGGAAAACGGGAAGAACACTCTAGAGCAGTGATGGCGAACCTATGACACGCGTGTCAGAAGTGACACGCAAACTCATTTTTTTGGTTGATTTTTCTTTGTTAAATGGCATTTAAACATATAAAATAAATATCAGAAATATAAGTCTTTGTTTTACTATGGTTGCAAATATCAAAAAATTCCTATATGTGACACGGCACCAGCGTTAAGTTAGGGTTTTTCAAAATGCTGACACGCCAAGCTCAAAAGGTTCACCATCACTGCTCTAGAGCCCTCACCAGAAAATATCTCCTCTGCCTGCCCACCTAGTGCCTGGAGATCTGCTATTAAAGATCCCTGTGGAACCTCAGACAAGTCATGCACCCTCCATCTGCAGAAAAAGCATAAAAGGCAGCCCTAGGCACTTTACTCTGATGAGTGGCTAGAAAGGGTTATTAGGTGATTGTGGGCATGCACATGAGTGTTGGCAGTAACTGCTGGTTGTCTCCCCAGTATCCATTCTCCCCTTCTCCTATAAACAGATGTCTTATCTGGGCACGTGGCCACCCAGCTAAAAACCAGCTTGCCCAATCTTCCTTGCAGCTAGCTGTGGATTGAGGCCAACACAATGAGAACAGAAGCAATAGTCAGGTCCATGAAGGGAAAATGCAAGCTTTGCCTTCTCTCCACTTCTGCTTACTGGCAGGGTTCATGTAGGAGGGGAGCTGAATCAGCCATCAAAGCCTTAAGAACGGATATGCATTTTGAGGATGGCAGAGCAACAAGACAGAAAGTGCCAGGTCCCCAGGGCTGTAAGACCCTCCTATCAGCACTGATGGCTGGTGCTCGCATTGTTAGATGGGTGAGATAAAAATTCCTTGCCGGCCAGTATTATTAGCAAGGAAAGACCTGGGCCAGGTGACAGGTCTGACCCCAGCTCAGAGCCCCATGCTCAAAAGTATCTGCTACCTCTGATAGGGAGATTTATTTTCTGATCCCCAAATCTGGACCCATTGTTTAAGCAAGCATTTGAAGGCCTCTTCGGGGAACAAGAAGCATTCTAGGAGGTACCGACTGCATGATAAAACGTCAGTATGTATGGAATGTTTCAAACAAGGACAAGAACACAAGGAATCCTAGATGCTGAGTTACACTCAAAAAAAACAGGTTGTGCAATAATTTTTTTAGGAGATGCCTGTACTCATAATCCCAACCCTTCCCTTTGTCTTTCACCCCACCATCTAACACATTTAAGGTACTTATCTGCACCATGAAGTTATTAAGGTTTACAACCTCCAGTGTAAATGAATCAAAGTAGAAAGTGTCCCCAAAGGAGAGGCTAAGATACAAGAACTCCATTGTAGACCTAACCATGAATTATCCAGGTCAGTCTACAATGACAGATTCGCCAACCATCTCCATGCCCGTGCCCCCCCGCCCCAAAGACTAAATATTTAAAGCCCCAAGGAAAGAATGTCTCTTTGTCTGGGGTCAGATATGGGCACACCACTGGCTTTTCCTAAGAGCAGAGAAGAGGGTAACTGGACGTCCTTAGTTTCCCTGGGAAAGAAAGTGAGCCCTGGGAATCAATAGCCCATCAAAACCCACACACATAGTGATGGAGGGTTACTGTGCCACGAAGATTGGGGGCATGGTCTTGGGAAAAGCCGTGGGTGCCGAGTGGCCAGGAAATGACAAGAAGCCCTCTATATCCACCTCACCCCCTCAAGAAATAAAAGTGAAATCAAATAAAACAAGAGAAGAAAAATAAAACCCCGGAGAGAAGCCCTGGAGCCAAGCAAATGCCTTTCCCACAGAGATATGATCACCAGTGGCCTAATCTGATTTTCTAGCAATGCCTGTGAGTCAGTAAATGAGGAGGGGTTGACATTGTTAGGACACAGGTCACGGGAGAACATCCTCGAGGTATGACCTCTAGAGGAAAGCCTTGAAAGAGGGGGTTGTGGTAAATCCCCACATGTCAAAGTCAAGGCAGGGAAAGGTCTGTTAAGGGAACAGAACTGGGTACAGTGGACTGTGTCAGCTATTTTCCTAAACTCTACACTCTCTGGCAAGATCCCACAGTGCCCCGTCTTCCACCTGGACCTCATAGGATATGTCAAGAAGTGTCGTTTATCTTACTACACACCCGAATGCCACTCAGTTGTTCCTGCAGACAGAGGGACCATGTTTCCTATCAGTACCATCTGGCCACCTGCTATGCTTCTCAGTAATGCCTCCTAAAAATACCCTTCTCCAGTATCCCCTGTGACTTTAACAGAATAAAGAGAAAAAGCAGAGTTAATCTCCTCAGATTGGCTTTCCATCAAGGGAGACTTTTGTAATATGAGATAGGGTGGGAAAGCAGAAGCTTTGGAGACAGACAGATTTGGATTAGAATAAAAATAAGAATTTTTATCATTATAGCTAAAATGTATTATTAGCATATGCTGGCCACTGTTATAGTTACTCTGTATGGACTATCACATTTAATATTCTCAGTAACATTCTGCGTTAAGGATCAGTATGATCTCCATTTTGCAGATAAGGAGACTGACACATGAGTAATTTCAGCAAGAAAATGGCAGTTTTGGTCTGATTCCAGGATCAAACTTGCAACCATTCTGCAAAATAGCCTCTGAGTGAATGTTAGTGCCTTCCCCATCTCTCAAATTCTCTGTTCAGGCAGACTCGAGTGTGAGGCAACTGGACAGGTGGGGAAAGGAAGAAAGGTGAAACTTGAGAAGACGAAGGGATGGGAAACTGACAGCCTAGTTGTCCTGAGGACAGTCAGACGACATGCAGCATGTGGTCAGGGGGCAGTCTGGGCAGCCACTGGTACTTGTGAAGGCAGCAGACACTTCTCCAAACCACGAAGCTCTCAAGCATCAGGGAGGCAAGGTGTCAGGGGAATCAGGAAAGACTCCAACCCCAGAATACAAAGAAGGAGAGAAGGAGGGAAGGAAGGAAGGAAGGAAGGAAGGAAGGAAGGAAGGAAGGAAGGAAGGAAGGAAAGAAGGAAGGAAGATTAATAGGTGATAGATATGCTAGATATTGATTGGTAGATAAATAATAATTAATGGATAATTAATAAGTCATGATAGATGATAGATGACAGATATATAAATGCTAAATAAATTATAGTTAGATAGATAATTAATAAATAAGAGATGGATAAATGATAGATAGATAGATAGATAGATAGATAGATAGATAGATAGATAGATACTGGATCAACATGCTATATTAGATACTTAACCAGAGAGACACATCCATCTATGAGGCATGAGGAGGTGGACACATGGGTGACATGGGCTGATATAGTATTACTAGGTACCAGACCCCTGGCAGAGTGTGGGCTGAGGCTGTTGATATACCTGCCCTGGTCAGGGTGACTTCTGAAACTTGGTTTGGGCCTAATCTCCTCACAGATACATGGTGACTCCAGTCAGCAGGGCTTAGCTAGTGTGAGAATCTACTTTCCTGCCCCTTATCACTTCTGTGCTCAGCGTGTGGCTCCGGTCACCACTCTGGCCATACAGGTCATCATTGCTGTCATCATTCACATTTACTGAGCATGTACTCTGCATCCTTCAAAATGTCTCACTCCTGTTTTTCATTAAACTATCACAATAGGCATATGCCATTTTAGGTTCTCGGGCTGCCTTGTTCCACTGTCCATCTCTCTCCCTACCACAGCATCCTTGGAGGGCACATGGTTCAGAAAGGGAAGGCAAAGAAATGACCCAACCTCCTTCAGCCTTTAAAAAAGTGAGAAATTAACTTTCATTGTGTTGAGTCACTGCAGATTAAGGATTAATTTGATATCTCAGCTTTGCCTGACTAATACACTACTCATAGCCTCATAGGTTTGTTATGAGAATTGAATTTATGCATGTAAAGGATTTGTAATCTTTTTTTAGAAGATCTCATTGGAATATTTTATGAATAAAAGTCAGTTAGTTGCTTATGGGTGGGTTTTGAAGATCAACGTGTGGGTTAAATGACTGCCTGGCACATGGCTGTCAGTGAGCTTTTAGTAAATGTGAATTTCTTTGCTATCAATTTGTACCACTACCATTGCTACTACTATTACTATTAAATAAGGCAAACACAGCCTTTCTACTCTGAAGGCAATAATGCTGGTTGGAAAGAAAAAATCCATCTACCGTGGAACCAACCTCCTGGGAGCTGCTGAACTCTGAGAGTGAGCTGTGTGGGTCTTTGAGTGAATACGAATGTTAATAAACAAATGCAAACACTAACAAAGGGTGTGATTAAACACTTCCAGAAGCATAAGGAGCGTCAGAGAGGCATGACTTCAATCAGTGGATCCCGGCCTTCTTGTTTCTCCTTTCTTCATCATTCTGGGACCAAATGATCACTTGGATATAAATCTGAATTTATTGCTCAGTGCATTGACTGAAAGACCCTCCTTCTATCCGATGAGTTGGATACCATCTTCTTTTTTTCTTGACTTAACAACTGTAGCAATGGACCAGTGCGGCCAAAGTGCACGTTGAAATTTCCTCCCATAATCTTACTGACTCAAGGGATATGTAATCTTGCCTGATGTGTAGTGAGCCATTGTTAATATCATTCTTGGATGACAGAATACTGGCACTGATCCCTTAAGGATGTGTCTTACAGGTGTTGACTCTTACTGCCCCAGCATAAACATCCAGTCTGCTCCTGTTCATAATAGCACAGAGCTGGGGCTGGAAGTACTCCTGTTTGCAAAGGACTTTGTTGGTTTTTTTAAAAATTATACAATAACCTCCAGCT